CAGGCTCTGTGCTATATTCTGGGAATACAAAACCAGTTAGAAATAGTTTCTAGAAAGTTATAGTCTACATAACAACGCATATAGAGAAAATTAAATAAATCCAGAGTATTTCTGGAGGGAGGCTGATAGCAAATGGGTAGAACAAGATAGACTTCCTGTAGGATGTAGCGCTTAAGCTGAACTTTGGAGGAAGCCTGAGGATTCTGTGAGGCATAGTAAGGATGGAGTACATTCCTGGCATGGCAGATAGCCTGTGTAAAAGCACAGAAATAGAAAATGGAATTCCATTGTGTGAAAAACAGCAAAAATGCCAATTTGGTTGGACAATATACAGAAGAGGAAGAATGTGTATAAGGCTAAAAAGGTAGTTGGAGTCAGATTTTGAAGGGCTTTAAATGTGGGGAAAGAAGTTTGGTTTTGATCCTCAAGGAAGAGGGACTCACTGGAGCTTCTTAAACAGAGAAGTGACTTAGGAATATCAATTTAGCACTGGGGTGGAGGATGGATTGGAAAGGGAAGAAATCTGAGGCAGGCAGAACAAATAGGAGGCTGTTGCAATTATCCAGGGAGAGGTAATAAATGCCTGAACTAGGGAATGGGTAGAGAGAATTTGAGGGGAGGGGACAGCTAGGTGGCACAGTGGATAGGAGTCAGGAAGACTCATCTTCCTAAGTTCAAATCTGGCCTCAGATGCTTATTAGCTGTATGGCTGGGCAAATCACTGAACTCTGCCTCAGTGCTGAGGCAAACAAGCTGAAGAAGGAAATGGTGAACCACTCCGGTATCTTTGCCAGGAAAACTCCAAATGGGGTCATGAAGAACTAGACATGACTGAAACGACTGAAGAACAAGAGAGAATATGACATATGAGAAGAGCTAAGTTGGAGGCGGAATCAACAATACTTAGCAATTGATTGGATACAAGTTGTAAAGAAGAAGGAGGCTTTCTAGATGATGACTTTTGAACCTGGTGAATAGAAGGATGATAATTGCTTCTGCAGGATTAAAGAAGTTGGAAAGAGAGGAGGGTTGTTTTGGAGGGAAAGAATGAATTCCATTTTGTATGTATTGAGTTTAAGAAAATAGATTTGAGATCAGGAAAGCAATTTGGGAGCCATCTAGTGTAACCCTTTCATTTTACACATGAGGAAACTGAGGCTTATGGAGATTAAGGAACTTATCCAATAGCTCACAAGTAATAGGTAGCTGGTGTTAGAAATTGAACCCATGTCTTCTGATTCTATCTGGTGCTCTTTTTCTACAACAGCAAACTTATGTTTGTGCTTTTCATGTACCAGGTGCTCTGAAAGATTCAGACGTTAGATAGCAAACTATCTTGCCCTCATGAAGCTTACTGTCTAGTTATCAATTAATAAATATTTATTAAGCAACTACTACGTGCCCGGCCCTGTGCTAAGCACTGGGGATACAAAGAAAGGTAAAAGAGAGTCCCAGCTCCCAAGCACTTCATAGTTAGTAGATGGACAAGAGACCAGCACAGATAATTTTACTACATTGCCATGTGCTTTTTGTCCTTCCATGGTCCAGTATGCAAAAATCAGCCTTGAATAGCTTGAGGAAGTAGAGTGAAAATGGACCCAACATGCTTTAGGGAATTTTCCTTGGGCTCAGCTCTCTCTTATGGCCAAGAGAAACCTGCCAATTTTGCTTTGCCTAGGAGTAGAGAGCCCAGGAGGGCACTGATAGGAACTCCATTTCACTTCATCCTCCCTGGTGTGAATGGAAAAATGGAGTGCCATCTTTTCTTCAGAACTGTTTTTTTCAGAGTGTTGCAAAGGCTTAGGGAGGAAAACAGGCTGATACAGAATCTGAAGAGTCTACAAGTCACTACTTTAAACTGAATTTAATCTGTTACCATCTAGTAATGAAACTCCAGACAGAAGTGATATGAACAGACGGAAGAGGTGGGCTGCATTTGACTTGGCATTTTAAAAAGTTAGTTTAATCCTTCCCTCCAAACTGAACTTTGAGGGGCCACCCGATTTGAAACTGAAACTAAGAGGGATATAAATATAAAACCAAGTGAGATGTTTTCATGTCAGCATCTCCCAGCTCAAATGATACAAAGTTTGTCATTGATTGTTTCATTTCTTTCTAAGACCAAAACAAAGTGAAAAATCAATTTAAGTATGAGAGAATAATCAGCTGCTCCACTCAAAATCTGTTGTTCCCGTTTCATTTTTTTATTTTTATTTTTTTGGTTGGGCAATGAGGGTTAAGTGACTTGCCCAGGGTCACACAGCTAGTACGTGTTATGTGTCTGAGGCCAGATTTGAACTCAGGTGCTCCTGAATCTAGGGCCAGTGCTCTATCCACTGTGCCACCTAGCTGCCCCCCTGTTGTTCCCATTTTAAAATAATTAATAGATTCTTCTTTTAGCAGCTCAACTATATGCCATGGCAGGAACAGAACTTGTGGTCTTCTGTTGTTCTACCTTGGTCTTACTTTAACATTCCTACCATTTCTTATCCTATGCTTACTTTTGTTTTCCTTTATATTTCTGTTCTGTTTCAGGTATTGTATGATTTCAAGGCTGATAATCTGGGGATTTTACTTTTAAAACATTAATTTTTAAAAAATAAGTTTTATTGCTGCCTTTTGTTTTTACTTCAAAGTCGTTTCTAAACATATGGGCAAAGCCACCTTTCTCCCCTTTCTTCATTCAGCTATCCCTTATGAACAAAGAAAAATTGTTAAGCGAAAACTCATGATAGAGTGACTACATCTGACAGTGTGTACGGTATATCATCATTGTAGGGCTTGGCTTTTAGACTTTGTAATGAAACTCTTTTGCACTCCTTGGCTTATAAGACCTAGAATACTAAGAATATGTGCTTTATGTGTGACACTACTATATTTTTTGTGATTTTGGTCAAGGTACAATAAATCTTCTGGAAAGTGCTTAAATCTTTCCTGTGGTACAAGCTTTGAGTCATAGTTTTGGCTTCGGTTGAATTTCACAGTTATTTTGCAATCGTTTAGAATCATGTAAAGTACATATATGTCATCATTCCCTAAATAGTCTACTGAATGATGTGAAATTTGGATGCTTTATGGGAAATTACCAAATTTTAGGGCCAGAAGAGACTGTAGGAATCATCTAGTTCTAAAATACATTTTTAGAGATGAAGAAACTGGAGCCCAGAGAGGGCTGACTGAGCAAATCAGTAACCAGATCAAGCAAGGACTGGAATCCAAGTCTCCTGACTTCTAGCCCAATGTCCATTATAGTAGGGAAGAGAAGGGAATAAGCATTTATACAGAGTACTTACTATGTGCCAGGAACTATGCTAAGCACTTTTTATAAATGTTATCTCATTTGATCCTCACAGAAACTCCGTAAAGTAGATACTATTAATATCCCCATTTTACAGTTGAGGAAACTGAGACAGAGTTAAGTCACCTACTCAGGGTCACACATAAGTGTTTGAGGCTAAATTTTAACTTGGGTCTTCCCTAGGCCCAGAGCTCTATTCGTAGCTCCACCAGCTGCCTCTAATACTTCGGAGCAGACCAACTACTCATCAGTCACTACACTCTTTTTCCTTTTTTTGTATTTATGTCACTATTATTACTAGAAAACAGACCATAGTAGTATTTCAGTACTTTATGTAGAACAGATTTTGAAATAATTTGAAATTTGTTGAGAGACAGCATGGCATGAGAGATATAAAGCTGCCTTCCTGGGGGAAGAAAGCCTGGATTCAAGTGCCGCCTCAGACAGTTCTGGCTGTCTTCTCAGTGCCCCTGGCAGCTCTATGTGGCAGAGCAGGTGTTCATCTGCTTTGGTAGGAGGAGTTTCCTCCCTGAGAGTGCTTTATACCAAGGAAATCACAGCTCTATACAAGCAAAAAAAGAAACTTATTAAGTGCAGTAATTATTTTTATAAATTATGATTACTTTTGGAGAATTGGTGCTTCCTAATGGTAGAAGAAAACATACTACTTGTGTTGTTGTTATTTGTTGTTATTTTTTAAACAGTTAAACATTTTGACAAAGCCGTCTATGTGTGCCACAAGTTCCAAAACCTGTCATTTTACTTATTTTCAAATTAATACTAGATATGAGTACTAGAATTCTTAGTGATTAAAGATCTGTGTGTCTGTCTGAGATAGAGATTATGAATGTTTATGATCTTGGATTTCTTACCTGAACTTAAGCAGAGGCCTGGTGAGAAACCTAAATTTAAAGTAGGCCTTATTGCCTTTTCATAGCCCCTTTTCCCCTGGTTGTCATGGTAAAAAGCATGGATATACATATTCATATACACACATATAAAAGTCTTAGTAAAGCTTAAAACAGGACTAAGACTTTTGGAACACATTATGTATGTGTATATGTATATATGTGTGTATGCATAAATATGCATCGTATAGCACTTTATAATTTACAGAGGCTTTTCCTCACAATCCCATGAGGTAGGAGTCCCTGTATTAAAGATGGAGAATTGAGGCCCAGATAGTTAAGTGCCTTGCCCAAGGGTATATATGTATGTATGGGCATATTTTTAATATTTCATATATTTGTAGTATATTTACATATTACATATATATTTTAATCCAGAAATTATAGGCCTCTAGTATTCCCATAGGGAAGAGGTGATTGGCTTATTATCATTTGGAGTTTTGTTACTTGTTTATGCAGTTAAAGTTTCTAGTTGTAATTATTTACTTGAAGGAGGAAAGTTATTTGTCTACATTCACACACACAGACACACACACAAACAAATACCATCTTTACTGCCTTTGCCACATTAAGGTTCCATTGACTTGGTTAACTGAACCAGTGAAATTTGATTTGCATCAAAGGGGATGCTTTGAGCAAAGCCCCAGGCAGACCTGGGAAAGAAACCTCTTCAAGACAAACCTCTTCAAGCAATAAATATCCATCATTACCCTGCCAGGTATGTCTCTGTAAGCCATATGTGTGCATACAAACCACATGTGCATCTTAGCAAACTTTAGCTTCATCTCCTCCAGAGTGTCCAGGCCAGACTACTTCTGCTTAAAAAACCTGAAGGACTGAGAGGAAGTATCAGCATGGGCTCTCAACCCTGAGAATGGACTTTCCAATGAGGTATTTTACATTTTCTTCTATTTTTTTTCATTCTTTTGATTTTGTTTGACTGATTCTTGATGTCTCATAGAGTCATTAGCTTCCACTTGCCCAATTCTAATTTTTAAAGAATTGTTTTTTTCAGCTAGCTTCTCTACCTCCTTTTCCATTTGGCCAATTGTACTTTTTAAGGAGTTGTTTTCTTTAGTGTACTTTTTTCCATTTTGTCCATTGTATTTTTAAAGGAATTGTTCAATTTTCTTCTGCCTCTCTTATTTGGCTTTTAAAATCCTTCTTGAGCTCTTCCAAGAAGGTTTTTTGGGCTTGAGATCAGTTCATATTCCCCTTTGAGGTTTCAGACGTGGGTACATTGACAATGCCGTCCTCTCCTGAATTTCTATTTTGATCTTCCCAGTCGCCAAGATACTGCTCTATGATCATTGTTTTTCTTTGCTGCTTGTTGCTCATGTTGTTTGCCTTTTTCTGTCTTTTAAAGTTAATTTCTGCTTCTGGACTACAGGGGGCACTGTCCCAGGCTTCTAGTGCTGAGGGCTAGAGGCCTGGTTACTGATTTGTGTGCTGTGTGCAAGGGCCTCAGGTGCTGGCAACTGGAGGCTGTAGGAGTCTGGTAGCTTACCTGGTGCTGAGCTGGAGCTGGTGGTGGTGGCTGGTGGCTGGTGTGTGCCTGGTGTTGGCACTTGCCTACTGCATCGCCCTGGGGTTCAGGATCTCCCTCTGGCTTGCCTCCCATCCTGTACTGGTTCCCTTCAGCCACAGCAAGAGGGACCTTTCCCATTAATCCCTTTAGCCTCCTGAGCTAAAAGACTGTTGTACCTCATCTTTCTGGTGGCTCCATTATTTCAGGATTTTTCCTGGGACAATATTCTCTGGGTTTTTTGAGGTCAATAAGGGAGGGTGAGAGCAACTTACTGCTTACTCTACCATCTTGGCTCCTTGAAGTCAAGACAGATGACTTTCAAACATTCCATCTGTGGGCTGATAGCTCCAGGAGCAGCCACGGCACTGCTGCTGCTGCTCCTGCTGCTGCCACCACTGATTCAGTCACTCCCAAGGCCTGCTCCTGATTTGCTGGTGCAGGGGCTATACCGGCTTCTCTCTCACCCAGTTCCAGCAGACCCCTCCGGCTGACCTTCTAAGTTGTCTCTGGTATCTGTGGGCTGAGAAATCTGGAAACTGCCGCTGTTACCAGTGATTCAGTCCCCAGAGGCCTGCTCTGGCTTCGCTGGGGCAGGGTAAGCGCTGACACAGCCTGTGCTAGATTGTGCTCCTCTCTCAGCCTGGTGCAACAGACCTTTCCTGTCCACCTTTCAGTGGAAATCTGCCTCACTCTGTTTCTTTGTGGGTTCTGCTGCTCTAAAATTTGTTCAGTCACTTTTTAAAGGTTTTTGAAGGGGTATGGTGGGGAGCTTAGGCTGGTCCATGCTTTCACTCCGCCATCTTGGCTCTGCTTGAAAAGGGACTTTCACCATTGAGAAAGCAGAGGCTTATGAAACTAAAGTTTTCCACCAAATTTAAAACAGATTGATGTGACATATTGTCCTGGCTACCAACTTTTTCTTCATTTCTGTCACCCTCCCTGGATTTTCCCATTGCAGTTAAAGTTATAAAATATTTTGTTTATTTTTTTACTTATATTAATATTTGTTGGCATGCTGTCTTTCCAAGACCAAAGAAATTTTAGAATTACTTTTTGTTTGTATCTTTCTTGTGTGAAACAACAGTAAAGAAATTAGAAATCACCAACAGTGAGCAGCCTGCCCCACCCACAATTCAGTGAACAGAAGTTTTATGGTATTCTGCACCCAAGTTTTAAGACAGTAGGAAAGGAATGAGAAAAAAAAATTGAGCTTTTTTTTTTAAAAGATGGGCAGAATTGAATGTTCTTAGGACTGTGTTTTCAGCAAAAGGGTAATCAAAAAATTGAACTTATAGGGTTGCTTTTAAAAAAAATCCTTTCAATGTTTGTCAAGGAGCAGATCCCTATTCTATTTACTAACTTGACTCTTTTAGTCTTAGTTTAATGTGAGTCTCAGATAAAACGTGCCTATCCCTATAGTCAGCCTGCTAATACCTGAAGTGGTTTCATGATAGAACTTGCTACTGAAAATCTTACTGGTCAGTCTTTCCAAAATAAAAATATGTTACTTTCAGTGCATAATCACTGAGTGATTAGAACCTTCTAAACCTTTTAATATGAAGATACTACTAGGTGACAGAATATGGCTCAGTTTAAGAGTACTCACTAAAGCCAGCCTTAATAGTGAGAGCGCACAATTTTATATATAATATCTGACATTTATATAGGGCTTACTATGTGCCAGGCCCTGTACTAAGTGCTTTACCATTATTATCTCATTTGATCTTCACAACAATTTTGAGAGGTAGGTGCTATTTTGTTGTTTAGTCGTTTCAGTCATGTGAACTCTTCATGACCCCATTTGAGGTTTTCTTCTGAAGTGGTTTGCTATTTCCTTCTCCAGCCCATTTTACAAATGAGTAAACTGAGGCAAATAGGGTTTAAGTAATTTGCCCAGAGTCACACAGCTAGTAAATGTCCGAGGCCAGATTTGAACTCAGGAAGATGAGTCTTCCTGACTCTAGATTTACACTCTATCCACAGCACCACCTAGCCACATAATGGTTTTAATAGCCAGACTATTGACTAATGAGGAGACACAGACCCACAGTGACTTTGAATCCCATCTTTTCTACTCACATGCGGGATCTCATCACCTTTCTGGACCTCTCTAAAGTTCTTTCCACCTCTAAATCTTTGAACTTGTGATCCTATTCTGACATAAAACCATGAAAGAAAATATTTTTTTAGTGTTTTAATGTTTTTCAATTTTTAGAGTACTCATTGTGAAGATTTCTGCAAGAAATAAAAAAATTTCTATTCATTTCTTTTCAAGATTTCCCAAGAAGGTGGAAAGATTACTAATATGACCATAATCATACTGTTCTCTTTGTCTTTATTTTTAGATAGATAAAGAATATTCAGCACTTATGGTCCAGGCACTATGTGCTAAAATTGGGAATACAAATATAAGTCAAGAAGACACATTCTAGTGGGAGAAATTAGATTAATCAAATTAATTAGAAATTAGATTACAAGTTAATTGACGGGGAATAGAAATGAAGGGGAGAGGAAGACAGAGGGTACCTGAAGGAGCAAAGCTACTGGACAGGAGGCAAAGTCCAGAAAGTTAGGTTAGTACTAAGTAAGTTTTCCTCCAAGTATTTGCAACTTCATGACCTAAAAACATTTGTTCCATCTTTTAATAACTTAAATTCAGTTCTCTTTAGTTCAGCTGTTTGATACTTGTAGTATTGTGTATAGTATTTTGCATTACATATTCCTGAAATGTTTGTGAATCCTCAAGAGTTAAGAGATTTGCTCCAGCAAATCATTCAAACCTTTTCTCCCTGTAGCTTTAAGGTCTAAAAAGGTTATATCTATTTTAAAGCTTTCCTTTTGGGGAGGGGTAGATAGGTTGTAGGTGGGAGACAGACGATCCATTTGCCATGATAAATCAATCACTCCCAAATATCTCTGGAAGAACACTTTATGGATTTAAGGATGCATTGGGGGTAGGGCACCTCTCAGAGGAATTTTAACCCAAATTGTAGGCCCCTTCCTCAGTCATTAAAGAAAATATGATTAGAGAGCCCCTTAACTTCCTGGGAGTGTAGAGGCAGGGTTGCCATCTCCCAAGGGTAAGCTGAGGGACAAGGAAACATGAGGGAAAGGCTTTATTTGACCCTGCCTTCATCTCACTAGTCTAGTGCCTGGACTTTAGGATCTCACTTGTTTTCTCAGAGCAATAAGGAGGGTCCTTATGATCCTGCCATAGTGTGGAAAGTTACACGTGTGTGTGTGTGTGTGTGTGTGTGTGTGCGCGCGCGCGCGCGTGTGTGCCTTTTAGGGGGAGGCAGAGTATAGTGGGAGAAAGATAAAGAATAGATAAAGGAGGAAGATGGATAAAGGGATTTTTAGGTGCAGAGGGAGAATTTATTTTTTCATTTTGTTTTTCAAGAGAGGATCTGGTAGATCTAGTCGAAAGGAAATAAACATCTCAAGATTTTGAGCATTGGAGATTAAAAAACATGTTTTGAGTCATCATCAACAGTGCTACTAGAGTTACTTCAATATTTCAAGTGATCTGCAAGCTCAAGGATGTAGATGCTTCCTACATGTCAAGCTGTCCATACTTGTCAGCTTTGGCAGTGATTGTGTCTGTTTTTCCGTTGAGCTCCACAGGCTTTGCCCAAGCTATTGGAGGTGGCTTCTTGCCTTCGGGCTTATGGACACCTCTAGCCTCTTGACAAAGCCTGTGTACCTCTTTTCAGAATGATATTATTAAATGCATAAAATGAAATATACAGGATCACAAAGGAAACCAATTATATTGAAATAAAGATATAATTTTACTCATCAAAGTTCATAGACCTCCCTGAAATCTATCTATGGGTTCTTTGGGGGTCTATGGGCCCCAGTCCAAGAACCCTTTCTCTAGGGTTTTTTATATTTGAGGGGTACCTGTGTAGCACTTGGGATATGTATCATCCCTCACTCTTACTACTTGACTGGCTCTTTCCTTTTCTCAATAATACAGTTCCACAGTGATGTCTTTCATTACTCTTTTGATGTGGTCATCATTGGATATATGCTGATACCTGTTTGAACCCAACATTTGTCTCTCTCTTCATCCCTGAGTCACCACCATTTTGATTATGCACAAATTGTGGTGGTCTAAGATTCCTAATTCCACGCCTTTGTTGGAAAGATATTTGTATTAAAAAGATGAGTCTTTGAACTGGGCAATACCTTGGAGTCATTAAAAGAAATGAGCAGTTTCTCTAGTGCAGTTCAGCCTTATCTCGTCTCTGTCAATTCTGGACCCAGCTTGTTCTTCATCTACAATGCTTGTCCCAGATGTATGTACTGATATAACTCAGTGAACTGGATATCCAAATGATTACTTATTAACATCATGCAA